GAGATCGGGTATAATTAACGAAGTAGGCACTATTTTTTTTATTAAATTACTAAGTTGGAGATAAAAACTCAAATGTTGAGTACAATCGTTGCTCAGACAGCTTGTTTTCTACGTAAAACGGTGTCGTTCACTAACCGGTTCCTTCTTAGCTATTACCTTCCTGGCTAAATGCTATAATATAATAAAATCATTAGCTAGCTAAAACACAAACCTACTATTGTATATCATAGCTCAACTTGACAGATTGGGAATTCAAAAGTTTGGACTTTTAAAATTCGCTCCACCACAACAACCTCAATCATGCAATTAGAAACAAACATCTGGACAAATCCAAAAATTTGTCAATTCCTTCCCCCCCCCCTTTTGATTAGCTTTATTTGGTAATAGCAAATTTAATTTGCTGTCAAGATGCTTGTCTATTATTATTGTTATTATTATTAGAAAGCGTGAAATGAATTCAATTTGGAGTCTCATGGGTTCAACAAAGTTTCTGGTACTGGATAAAAATAAATGGGTAAATTTAAAAATGACAAAATAGAAAAGTCAGTGAAGAAACAGATACTAGGTTAAGGCAGTTATATGAAAAGACTGAGTCCAAATTATTAATGAAGATTAAACCATCTTACAAAATAGCTAGTGGTTTTTTCGGAATTGTACAACCCAAATAAGAAAATAATTCCTTCCCAACATTAGAGACTCCACGATTGATCAATTTTCAAAAGACTTTATTTTTATCTGGAAATCTAAGAAGTATCCTCTTAATTCAAAATAATTTATTTAACTATTGAAATAAAAGATTTGATATTTTGACTGCCTGATTTTTATATCAAGAAACCACAGGTTAAGAAGGAAAACGCACTAATCTGTCGATCATACGAAATTCATCTAGAGAATCAATAGAAATGCTGGCTTGAACAGTCCAGGAACCAGCCATGAAAAAGATGAATCGCAGAAAAAAGAACATCCAAGATGGCGACTTGGTAATTAGAACTACAAATTACTCTCCAATTTTGTAAACATGAAGTCTTTAATCAGAGGTCTTGCAACAAAGAATGCTGACATAATTTTTAACGTCGCCACCCTCTCATTTAACTCACAAAGTTGATCTTAACTACTCTCAACAAAAGTGCTACTGTAAATTCCAAAATTCTAAGAATTTTCTCACACACACATAATGGTTTTTCATCCACTTACTCGCCAATGGTAAATTTTCTCAAGAAAATGACTTAAAAGAGCTTGAAATAAAAGTCAAAGAGAGTTAGATTAAATTAACTTCAAAAATGGCATGCGACGAATTGGTTTAATTTTATTTGTTAAGAAAAGTTTAACTTACGTGCTGCATTTTTCTCTGGTGATATCAAGCGAAGTACAATCTTGCTTTGGAGGGGTAATTCCTTGAGATATTTCACAACATCCATATGACGAGAGTTGATGAACGATCGGCCGTTGATGCATTCGATGAGATCTCCTGGGCAGATACAGTTAGGCTGTTCTCTAAGAATCTTAGCTAGAACCCCCTTTTCAGATATTCTCTTGATAAAGACACCTCCGGCTTTGTTGTCTGAAATGGTTAATCCTAGAGCCTCGGCCGACTTCAAGAATCGCACCTCCTTTGTTTGACCTCGAGTGTGAGCATAAATGATGTGGTTGAATGATAATTGGTTGCCAAGCAACTTTGTCATGTCTACCTGTGGAGTATCCAGGGTGCAGTACATAATCTAATTAAACAAGATGCCAATTTAAAGATTTCATAACGCTTTTATTTCGAAGATCACTATTTACAAAATGACATTGATAGTTTATATAGATTGGCAAATAGTAAAGTAAATATTAAATAATGTACTTTGATAGTGAACTAATATTTATCGCAGACGCATTTTATGCTTAAGAGCAAGCTAAATATTTAGCTCAAACGAATACAGGTTTTTTTAATTAACCTTATCCAAACGTTTTAATTAGCAAATATAAAATAGGCAGTGTTTAAGCACACTAACGTGTCTAAGGCAAATTACGCATGCTAACCCCCATATGATTCATCTTAGCACAGTTCTAATGATTTACCGCAGCAACCAATAATGTCGCAGTTTGAAACTACTTAGAGAGGGAAGGTCAAAAGTTAACTGCATTTCTACTATTTGAGGAACCTTACGAGGCTACTTAAACATGATTACTCCGACGCTAATTTCATGAAATTCGGTAAAAAAACAAAATGTGAATTCATCGTTAAGTGCCCATCCTTTAATCCGATTATTATTTTGTATCTCGCACGCGAGTCTAAAGTATTTGAATAAAACTCGATATTTCCTGGGGTTTTTCGTGAGAAAATAACTCTGACACAAATGACAGCCGTAGCCAAAACGCTGATTTATTGCCAACAGTAGATAAATATTTATTGCCTAACAGACATATGAAGGGGTAATAGGATAAGTTCGATGATAGAAGCCCCTCTATATATTAGACTTTCACAGAAGCGGCTAACGGGGATATGCTCTCAGCAAGGGAACAATCCTTATTTCACAATGCTTATTATTGATTTATATATTCTAAATTCCGAAATCGGGGGGGGGGGGGGGGGGGGGGGGGGGGGTGAGGGTGGACGGGCTGATCCCATTACGTAATTGTATATTCTTTAAAAGTATTTAGGGATATGAAGTTGAGTAGGCAATTAATTGTGATGGTAAAGGTTAATTCAATTCAGTCATCAAGTTTGATGTGCCATGGGAACTGTGCAAAACAGTCGCTAAATGCCTAATTAAAACTCATCAACTGTCTACCGACAATGACAAACCGTCGAGTCTCAGCACTCAATCAATAGCTTCTTAGAGAGTCACGTTCTTGTATTCTTAAAGCTCTTTCAAGGGTGTCATCTCTATAATGGTTGTAACAGAGTGCAATTGAAAATTAATAGATCATTAATACATACATGTGTGTTTTCGTTAGATCACCAGAATGTCGCATTTGAATGCTAAAACTTGAGTTGCATTACATTTATTGGAATTTTAATGAAATGTTCCTTCCATTTGGTATGCGCGCATAGCATAAAGTGGTATAGTATTGGTGAATACAAAAAACGTATTTCTATCTGAAAATACATAATGGTACCTCTCTTGGCATTCAACACATTTTCCTTCATATATATTTAAACTCGAAAAAAATAAGTAAATAGAATTGAAAAAATTCGAACAATGTGTCAAATATATTTGTAAACGCAATTTTTGGGTTTCATTAAGTATCGTCCTACGAAATGTCAAGGGGAATATCACAAACAAAAAGAATTCCATATTATTATTGGATAATATGTAGATTAAACAAAGCGTCCAAGGTCAACTAGTACTCCATTGGAGAATTCACCAAATACTCATTATTTCAAATGCTTAACAAACTTTCAATTATTTTATCCAATTTAAAAATTTTTATATCGAATTATCAGTTTCATTTTAATCCTAGAAAATTCGAAAACAACATAATTCAAAAAATTAAAAAACTCACTTGTGATAAAGGAATACTAAAACTCTCCGCAATCCGCTGATACAATTCTGGAATATTTGCAAATCCCGAAATACGGACTTGATTACTCCCATGAGCCAATTCACAAGCAAAAGAGAAGGGTTGGACTCTCTCCTCACCAATCGAATTCCTTCCACCACGATGTGCACCTCCTCCATTGTTGTTCACGCGTTCCGACCTATCGTATTCTGTTGTTTGAGTCGTCATGGCCGGATTGTACTCATACAAGGATCCAGAAGCCGAGCTTTGCTCAGGATTCATCTGTACACTAAAAGCTTCGAGTAGGGGTCGGCGTTTACGGCGTAGCAGAGGTTGCAATTGTGGAGAATGAGGATTATTGTGACTATGACTTACAGAACTCGGGAACATGATACTCGTTTTGAGAGAGTGAGTGTGCGTATTTGCAGAAAAAACGAGGTTTTTTACTGATACTCTGCTAAGCACGCTCTGCTCTTCTCAGTTCATGCACCCACCTTTAAAACAACGCATTCAGTGCGCAATTTGATTGGTGGTAACACGATGACCTATCAGATGACTTGGCTGGATATGCCAGGCTGATGGTGTGTGCTAAAGTGTTAGTCGATACCAATTTTTACTTAAGGAATTAGAAAACAATGCCAGTATCTACCTTATGTGAACTTAACTTGATTTCACGATCGTTGAAGATCGAACATTATCTTCTTGGGAATTGGTTGAATAATTTGCTATTGCAATTCTCCAAAATTAATCTCTTTTTTCACAAACGAAAAATTTGAGAATTTGAAAAGATGTGCGCTAAGAATGAACATGATTTATAAAAAACCCATAATGAAAGGTTGATATATACATGGACAAGTTTTGATTATAACACGGGCAAATCTCTGGCTATTGTAAAAAAGATTATTAGTCAAGGTTCACACAAAGAGAAAATGTCCATTTCAAAATGTTTACTCACTCAATTTCAGACACAAGGTTGGTGACACGGCTTACAAGTAATTAATTAATAAATTAAGAAAACTTGAAGCTTTCAAAGTCTAAAGAGATATACTTGCCGGTGTCCCAGTTAAAATATTTCAGTAATTAAATGGAGTAATTACATAACTAATTTTAAATCGTAAATGGAGGAATTGAAAATTGAAAAAAGAACAAGAGAAACATTTAGAAGCAGTGTTGCAGATACAAGTCAACGAGAAGGCTGATAAAAGTAGAATTTCACACGGGATTCTTTCCCACTACTTTGGTCATGTGTTTGTACGATTTCTACTTCAATGGATCTATTGAAGCTTAGTCAAGTCAAGAAAGTCACCCTTATTCCGCACTCCACTTACCCACGTCAGCACATCAATGTGAACTCAGCATTTCGATCATTAACGCCTTAACGGGCGCTATAATAAATATATTTTTGTCTAAGAATAGTTCTTGAAATATGTGGACTGATTGAAGAGTGCTAATTTATAATTGACGCGCTTAGAAGAAAATCAAAATGCTCGAATATAGAACTGGAATTTCATAAGTATTGAAAATGATGATATATAAACCAATGCCTTAATGGAATAGAACCAAGTTACATGGATTTAAAGTTTATAATTTACTAGAGAAGACCCAACCAATCATTGGTCATTATAAACAGATGTGACAGAAATTGTTTGGTCAAGCACCACTGCAATCCAGTAGATATACAGAATTGGCTAATGCTTGACAGGGAGTCATAGTGAATTACTTCTTACAACTGATCACATTTTGGCATCACATAAGTGCTTATCTCTTTATAAGAAATGTCAAAAAGGCACTTAAGAGGATAGCTGTCTTCCACAGTGTCTCAGTGGCATTGACGACAGGGTATGAAAAAAGTGAAACGAATAATGATTTAACCAAACTACCACACATGCAAGTGCAATTAGGGAAATTGAGTAGCATCATCACATGGTTCGATAAACTGAGCATTAATCGATTGTCAATGTCTTGGTTAGTCTACTGAGTCAAGCCGGCAAATATCAGACACATCAACTTCACCATCTTCCATTTCCATTTCCCATTGTAATCTCCAAGCAGTTGGTCTTCGTGGCTCTTGCAGTGTCCTCCCTAATGAAGCTGCCAAAAAACGCCATACCATAGTACATTTAGACATATGCCAAAATTATTAAGTCCAGATCTATCTCACCTGAGAACCTTTCACTCACGATTGTACTGGTGAGTTATATGTAAGTTAAACGCGTCCTTAATGAAATTCCGAAATAGTTGAAGAGTCTGTGAGTACAGTTCGCATTTTGTCAGTAACGAGAATCAGTTATTTCCTTTCCAGTGCTTCTCAAATTCCACGAAGACACAAATCTTATGCAAAATCGATTTCCAGGGAAGGAGTCCAATTCAACATTGCAATGGAATTTGAGAAGTAATGAGATGACTACAATTACTCCAGTTGTCGTTTCTCCATTCAAATTGGAATGAAATAG